GACTCGCACCGTCTGATTGACCTCTGCGTGTTTTTGGTCGCGCCGCCGCGCCATTTTGGCTGCGCTTACTTGCTGGTCGCCACCGGGATCTCCACGCCACCGGGTTGGGAGTTTCGTTTCTGGCTCTTGTTCTGAGTGGCTGCCCGCGCGCTCGCTTCGCTTGCCCCTCTTTTCTTGTTGCCTAGTCGCGGCCCGACTAGTGTTCGGACGGCTTTCGACTTGCTTCGCGAGCCCGCAGACCAAACATAATCCCCATCAGCCCGCATCCCTCGTATTCACCTGGGCTGTCTGTTCGTCTTGCCGGCGGCCTTCCTGGTCAGGACGTGATTGGCTACCCGAATTACCACCTGGTGTTGTACGTCGCCCCGATGTACCTATTGGCGTGCGCTCTCCACTGAGCGGCAGCGACGTTCGCTTTCTGTTTGTTTCTTCCCCTGCTTGGTCTTGTCCTCGTTTTCGCCTTTCCTTTTCCTTTGCGGTAATTTAGGCCGTTGCTAGTCTGCAGTGCTTGGGACGCCGCCCGACCTTTTCTTCGCCGCGGTCGCGGTCAACAAACATCCCCATCAGCCCATCCCAAAACAACTGTTTCGAATGACGCTGGCAGTCGTTGTTGTTGGGCGTACCTTCTGCCGTCGCATACGCCTTCCTGTTCCTCCTATGTCCCACCTGCTCCCTTTTAGCTCTCCATTGTTGGAGGAGTGGGTGGGGGGCGGGGCGGAGGAGGAGGAGGAGGAGGAGGAGGAGGAGGAGGAGGAGGAGGAAGAGGAGGAGGAGGAGGAGGAGGAAGCAGAGAGGGCGGCGGGAGGCGAGAGGGATATCGCGGCGACGACGACGACGACGGCGATGACCACAATGACGACGACGATGTTGACGACGACGACGACGACGACGGCTGCGACGACGACGACGACGACGAAGACGACGACGACGACGACGACAACGGCTACGACGACCCCGCCTGCTCCCATTTAGTTGCCTAACAGCTCTTGCTGATAGGTTTCTAGTGGTCTCAAAAGAGAGCATCATGACTCCTAAGGGGGGTCTGGGCGGGACCCGGACCGGCTGCCGCCGAAGCCGAAATCGCTTTGGACATCCTCGCAAAATCGCTCTTGGTGCTCCCAGAACTCCATTCCCGGGCCACATTTTGGATGCCCGGAGCCAACTGTAGGCCACTTCGTGCTCTTCGACTTCCCAGAACTCCATTCCCGGGCCACATTTTGGATGCCCGGAGCCAACTGTAGGCCACTTCGTGCTCTTCGATTTCCCAGAACTCCATTCCCGGGCCACATTTTGGATGCCCGGAGCCAACTGTAGGCCACTTCGTGCTCTTCAAGTTCCCAGAACTCCATTCCTGGGCATGATTTTGAATGCCCGGAGCCAACTGTAGGCCACTTCGTGTTCTTCTAGTTCCCAGAATTCCATTCCTGGGCCACATTTTGAATGCTGAGGCAGGCTGATGCTGCGGCCGAGGCAGGCTGAGGCTGAGGCAGGCTGAGGCTGAGGCCGAGGCTGAAGGCAGACTGAGGCTGAGGCTGAAGCAGACTGAGGCTGAGGCTGAGGCAGGCTGAGGCTGAGGCTGAAGCAGGCTGATGCTGAGGCAGGCTGAGGCTGAGGCTGAGGCTGATGCAGGCTGAGGCTGAGGCAGGCTGAGGCTGAGGCCGAGGCTGAAGGCAGACTGAGGCTGAGGCTGAAGCAGGCTGAGGCTGAGGCTGAGGCAGGCTGAGGCTGAGGCTGAGGCTGAGGCTGAGGCTGAGGCTGTGACTGCGACTGCCGTTGCCGCTGCGACTGTCATCGCGAATGCGACTACGACTGCGAGAACAGCAGAATTCGACAACTGGATTTTCATCTGAATCTTAAGGGGAATGCTTTCAGATATGCTTCTACACATCGCTGTTAGGTTGCTTTGCCGGGATAATTTTTCCTTGTGGGGGGAGTGGGAGGAGGGTGGGGCGGAGGAGGGAAGAGGAAGAAGAGAAGGCGGTGGGCGACGAGAGGGAGATAGCGGCAACGACGGCGATGACGGCGATGACCACAACAACGACAACGACGACGACGACAACGGCGACCACGACGACAACGGCGTGTACGACGACGACGACGGCGACGGCGGCGATGACGACGACGACGACCGCGACGATGCCGACGACGACGACCGCGACGACGCCGACGATAACGACGACCACGAGTCAACCATCAATGCCCTTTTCTGGGTCTTTCTCTGTGAGGGCCTCTTTGAGGCATCTTGGGCTATCCAAAGGCCTTCCTTCCCGAGGATATGTTGGAGGTCGCTGGGCCCTTTTGTGGTCTCCGTGGTGCCTCTTGGGGCACCCTTGGAGCTGTTTTGGGTGGTCTTGGGGCCCGAGTGGGGCTCATTGGGGGGGTCTGGGAGGTCTTTTGGCGCCACCGTGGAGGCCACGACTCAGATAAGAGCGCGGCGTCAAGTACGCCCCCCCCTTCGGAACCCGAGAAGTGGCCTCTTGGGGCCCTCTTGGGCCGCTCTTGGGCACTCTTGGGCTTGTCTTGGGCCTCTCTGGGGCCTGTCTTGGGGCTCTCTTGAAAGAGACTCTCTTGGGCCATCTTGGGGCCATCTTGAAGCCTCAAGAGCCCATTGAAAGCGAAAAGGCGAGAAGGGAACAAACATGGATTTTGGTCTCTGGGGGGCGTCGTTGGGAGGCTCCATGGCCACTTGGGGCCGTCTCGGGGGCGGTCTTGGGGCGTCGTGTTGGCTTTTGAGGAGCTATCTTGATCCATCGAGGGCTATCTTGAGTGATCTTGGAGGTCATCTTGAGCTCTCTTGGGCTGTCTTGGCGCCATCCTAGGCCAATGCAGACGCTCCAACGACCCGCGGCTCCCCCCCTCCAGGCCCAGGGGGAGGGGGTATGGGGAGGGGTCAAGACTCCCTCCCCGCCGGCAAGCCGTCTCGCTCACTCCTGCCCGCCCTCCCAACACATACGTAGCACCCGAGCCTGGGCCGAGCCGCAGCATATTCAGAAGTCGTCTTTGGATGGGCAGCTAGTGGGGGCGAATCCGCCGCCACCGCCGCCGCCGCCTCCGCCGCCGCCGTCGCCCGCCGCCGCCGCCGCGCCGCCGCCGCCGCCGCCGCCCCGCCGCCGCCGCCGCCGCGCCGCCGCCGGCGCCGCCGCCGCCGCGCCGCCCGCCGCCGCCGCCGCCGCTGCCGAATCGCCGCCGCCGCAGCCGCTGCCGCCGCAGCTGCTGCTGCCACCGCTGCCGCCGCCGCTGCCGCAGCCGCCCCTGCCATCGCCGCCGCCGCTGCCGCCCCCGCCGTCGCCGCCACCGCCACCGCCGCAGCCGCCGCAGCCGCTGCCCCCGCCGAGGCCGCATCGGGTTCGATGCACATGTTCCGAATTTGGAGGCAGAGTGTGTGTTGTATTGTTTTTTGTCAGGGATGGTGGGGGGGGGCCCGCATTGACCCTGGTTGGCTCCCAGTCGCCTATGGGAGGGGGTGCATATTAAAAGGGGACAGTGATAAACTCCCCCCCGAAGGGGAAGAAGAGGGTAGGACAGAGGGGGCTCTCTAAACCACTCACGCCCAGAGGGCTGGTGGGATTTGATGATGATTGATCTGGTCCCCCTTCTCCTGTCAGGGGCAACGTTCAAGGGGGGACAGACTCAGGGGGGATGCATGGACCCCGAACCGCCCGTTGATCGCCGCTGTGGGGCCCGACAGCCCCACCCCGCCCAGGAGCGTGCGCTGACGTGCGCCTCCGCTGTCGGGGGCCCACCGCCGATCCACCATCGACGCCTCGCCGATTCCAGGTCGATGCTTCCCCCCCGGAGCTGGCACTCGAGCGGTATCCGGGGGAAGGAGGAGGAGGAGGAGGAGGAGGAGGAGGAGGAGGAGGAGGAGGAGGAGGAGGAGGAGGAGGAGGCGGCGGAGGAGGAGGAGGAGGAGGAGGGAGGGGGGGGAGGGGGAGGGGGGGGGGGGGAGGAGGGGGGAGGAGGAGGAGGAGGAGGAGGAGGAGGAGGAGGGGGAGGAGGAGGAGGAGGGAGGAGGAGGAGGAGGAGGAGGAGGACCCCGGGCCACGGCCCGGGCCCGCGGCGGCCCTCCGGGGCGATCCGGGCAGCCGCCGGGCGCCTCTCGGCAAGGGGCAGCCGCTGGAAGGCATAGGCCGAGGCCGGAGAGCCGCGGAGGGCCAGCGGAGGCGGCTGGAAGCCTGACAGCCGCGATGCGAACCTCCGTCGCCCGATCGTGGGTCGCTGTCCTCCTCCTCCTCCCTCCTCCTCCTCCTCCTCCTCCTCCTCCTCCTCTCCTCCTCCTCCCTCCTCCTCCTCCTCCTCCTCCTCCTCTCCTCCTCCTCCTCCTCCTCCTCCTCTCCTCCCTCCTCCTCCTCCAACTCCTCCTCCTCCTCCTCCTCCTCCTCCTCCTCCTCCTCCTCCTGGTGTTCCTCCTCCTCCGCCTCCTGCTCCTCCGATCCGGGCCCCGTCGCCGATCTATCGGCGATGCATCGCCGATTCCGGGCCGATGCTTCTCCCTGCGGTGGGGGCGTTCGTTGAGGAGTGGGCCCAGGAGGCTTCACACCCTGGAGGATTCCTTTCAGTGGAGACCCATGCCAAGAAGCACCCTGCTTGCCTCCAGGGTGCCCTGGGTTTCTTGGGTTTCGATGGTTTTGCTACCTACGGGGAGCGCGACGCTCTCACACCGAAAATCAATGGGCGTCCTGGGGTCTCTCAGGGTTGGGTTTCTTGTAGGGTTTCCTGTGGTCGGGCTCCCACTGCATCGTTGTTGCCCCCCCCCCCCCCCCGCCCACCCCTCCTCTCCCCTTCCCCCCCTCTCCCCCTTCCTCGCCCCTCTTGTTTCTGTCGCGTTGCACACGTTGTCGCTTATGGGTGGAAAAGAGATTGCCCACGCGGCGTTTGGCCGTTCTTGCGCGAGATCATTCGTCGGCCCTCTAGGGGACCGCTCCGGCACCGGAGCTGGCATGCAGACCGCCTTGCCTTGCCTTGCCCCCCTCTTGCCCACGCCCTGCGCCGCCAGCCAGGGCCAGGCCGCGGAGCTCCGGGGGGAGCCGGCTCCCCCGCGCTGCGTGTGCGGCGGTGCGCTGGAGAGGCTCACGGGTGAG